GTCTCATCAGACCAGAGGATATTTTTCCAGTAAGCCATGGCCTTTGTTGACATATCCTCAGCAAACTTTTGGCAGGCTTTCTTGTGGACAGCCTTCAGAAGAGGCTTTTTTCTGGGGCGACAGCCATACAGACCAATTTGATGAAGTGTGCGGCGTATCGTCTGAGTACTTACAGCTGACTGCTGACCCCCCACCTCTTCAATCTCTGCAGCAACGCTGACAGCACTCCTGCGCTTTTCTTAGATAGCATTTGGATGTGACGCTGTGCACGTTCACTCAGCTTCTTTGGACGTCCAACACGAGCCCTGTTGTGAGTGCATCCTGATTTTTTAAAACGCTGGAGGATCTTGGCCACTGTACTGCAGCTCAACTTCAGGGTGTTGGCAATCTTCTTGTAGCCTTGGCCAGCCTTATGTAGTGCCACAATTCTTTTTTTTTAAGGTCCCCAGAGAGTTCCTTGCCATGGTGTGCCATCTTGGGAGTTTCAGTGACCAGTATGACAGTGTGAGAGAGCTGTACTACAAATTGAACACGCCTGCTCCTATCCCTATTCACACCTGAGACCTAGTAAGAGTAACGAGTCACATGGTATTTTGGAGGGAAAATGACAAGCAGTGCTTCGTTTGGACATTTAGGGGTGTAGTGTCTTTGGGGTGTACTCACTTTTGTTGCCAGGGGTTTAGCTATTAATGGCTATATTTTGAGTTTTTTTGAAGGGAAAAATACATTTACACTGCTATATAAGCTTTACACAGACTACTCATTGTGTCAAAGCGATGTTTCTTCAGTGTTGTTCTATTAAACATTATAATGAAATCTCTGCAGAAATGTGAGGGGTGTACTCACTTTTGTGACATACTGTATGTACAGTATGCATGCACCCAAAAAACTGGTGAAGATCAAACGTGAGCATCTTGTAATGAGACCTTAATAATAGACAATAGGCCAAGAGGTAGCCCTTCCAGCTATGAGGTGGTACATTATGGGTCATAAAAGACCTAGCTTTAGTGTAGGGTTAGATGAACAATTTCCTCTCATATACTCTAACTTTGAAAAAAACAATTCTTCAAAAAACAATTACTTAACATAATGACTTTAATTTCTTTAAAAACTCTATTTTATATCTGACATTTTTAAGCTTAAATGGTTAACACATTTGTCAGCCTGTTTTGATATACAGTATCATGTGTTTTCACTAGTTTTGCAAAACATAAAACGAGACAGCAGTTCATTTTATCCTGACTCACATGTATCCAACCCAAAGTGATTAGATCGTACTGGTCCTGTATGAGAAACAGTTCTTCTTCATTTACGGTGTCACAATAGTCCAGTCCGCCACACTGCTTTGGTATAATCACGTGGGTCACAGTAAACGCATTTCTGGTCTGGAACAATAACAAAAACATGTCAAACCACTGGGCTCTTAAATAATGCGTGGCCTCTACACTGCCAAGAAACTTTCCAATGAACAGAACACGAACTGGTCTGTCGCAGTTCAAAAATGCCCAGTCATGCTCAAGTGGAAGATTAAAACAAAAGCCACAGTAGTTCTGAGGCACCAGTATAAATGTCCAACTGTGAAGTAGTGCTTTAAATTCACACATTACACACAGCTATCTTTTAACTAAGAAAACCATCCATTTCTTTTCACCATCAATTTGACAGTTTATCATTTTTATTAACTCCAAATACCAATTAGAACGTAAAAACGTTACACAAATAAATCCTTTAGCTCATGGGGGCTTTTTCTGTAGCAGTTTGATTGTTACTCACCAATTTGCCACACAGGATGCCACAAGTTTCCACAGCTCGACTTGTGTTGGCTTCAGCCAACCTCAGAAAACTCTGGCACGCACAGCGCAGCGGGAACCGCCAACTGTCGAGGAGCGTCTAACATCGTATCTGCACCAACCATGGGAAGGAATAATAAAATGCAGAATGGAAAATAATGTTCTGAAGCAAGGCATGGTGTAAAAACAGTAATTTTAAGTAGGTAAGGAAAGAAGAAACCAGCTCAGGAGAATAAATATTTTCAAGGAGTAGGGCAGTATTTAAATCCTCTGAGGGCACCCACCCCCTATGCCACAAAAAGATTTACTCACTATTACTGCATGGGCTGACCAGAGTGCCGGGCTTGAGTGAGCGGTCAACGCTAGGTGGACTGGTCGCGCTGTTGTTTAAAGGAGTGTGGTTGAACTGATTCTGTGTGCCACCTGACAAGTCCCTTAGGATTTGTGGAAGAGTTGGGGAGACCACGGGTGGGCCCTGGATGCCTGGAATGAGGGGCATTTCACTGGAGGGCTGAGCAGGAGTTGCAAACTCTAGAAGAACACTCTGGCGTTCCTTTTCTAGGTCCTGGCGTCGGATCATCTCCTCAAAGGCACTGAATTGTTCCTGCTCCCTCTGCCGCCGCTGCATCTCGGCCACACGCTCCCGCTCAGCATTCAACGCTCTCTGCTTGGACAGCTCCTGCGCCAACAGCTCATCCTCCACTTTCTGGTAATGAAGTACATCCAAGAGACATGCATGTTTTTGAAATCAATTTGTAACTTACCAAGAACACATGTTTTATTTATTGTTAATTACAATGTATTTATTCAAGGTCATTGTAAGAGTTTGTTTCCATTGATATGTCTATGAACTAATGAACATAGTTCATAGACCTGATACAATCATGCTGTTTTATTGCTGGTTACTATTTCAACTCATTCATGATAAACACACCACAGAGTACAATCAGAGTACACTCGTGCCGTTATGCAAAGTTCCATGTTTCAACACATTCTTAATAATAAATTTATGTCAGAACATTTAAATCTTAGTGGAGCAGATAAATTGTTTACCTTTTTAGCCAGATATTGTGCATGTTCTTGCTCAAATCTTTTCAAAAGAGCTTTCTTCAATATTTCCGCTTGAGGAAATGCAACATCCTTGAGTTTCTGATGCGAAAAACAAATGTGTTACTGATGACCTTCAGCATATTCTTAATTATAATCTAATTATTTCTATGTCCTGCATACCCTTAATGTGTCCTTCTTTTCAGGAACAATAGCCATCTTGTAATCCCGATGCTTTGGAAGTTTTTCTACAAAGAGTCTAGATTCAAAAAAGTATTACTAGAAACAAATTAATACGCAATATTCAATGATTCAATGGAAATAAAGTACCAAATACTATTCAACAAAATAATGTGTTTTATGAAAGGACTGAAATACAGTGGTATGAAAAAGATTGGGCAACCCTGATCATTTTCAAGATTTTCCTTTATGGATCATTGGTTGTTTGGAACAGCAATTTAAATTAAATATATCATATAGCAAACAAACAGTGATATTTAAGAAGTGAAATGAAGTTTATAGGATTCGATGGTAAATCTTTTAAATTAAAATTACTAAAAACTAACAGCCTTCACTTTGACTAGTTCCACATTATGTTAGACAAAAAATGTGCACAGCATGTAGGCTGCAGAAAAACAGTCAGACTAGCATAAAAAAAAAGAAATAAAATAACAACGGCATCACTTTGTTCGTTATGACACAGAGGTTGCTTATATTTTAAATATAAAAAGTGAGTATTTTTAAGGCTATTATTCTTCAGTTTTCTCTAAAAACATATTGTTCCGTTTGAAAATGTAGGTTAAATTCAATGGATAAATAACCTGGTCGATGACACCCGAGACTGTCTGAAGTTCTACAAGAAGCATTTAATCTGTAGTCATAACACAGCTGCCTGAAGAGCTTTGGTCAGTCTCAAAGTAGTATTTGTTCATGAGTTATTTGCACTGATTAGTGTTGCTTTAAAACTAAAGGTGGAAATGAAAAGATTCAGTCGAACACAAAAACAGCTGAACACACTAGTTCTTCTTTTTCTTTCGGCTTTGTCCCTTTTTCAGGGGTTGCCACAGCAAATCATTGATTTCCATCTCTCCCTGTTCTCTGTATCTTCTACTCTGACTCCAACTACCTGCATGTCCTCCCTCACTGCATCCATATATCTCCTCTTTGGCCTTCCTCTCTTTCTCCTACCTGGTAGCTCCATCTCTAACATTCTTCTACCAATGTATCCACTGTCCCTCCTCTGCACATGTCCAAACCATCTCAATCTGGCTTCTCTAGCTTTTTCTCCAAACCTTCCTGTCTGTGTTGTCCCTCTAATGACCTCATTCCTGACCCTGTCCATTCTTGTCACTCCTAAAGAGAATCTTAGCATCTTTAACTCTGCCACCTCCAGCTCCTCCTCCTGTCTTCTGCCTATTGCTACTGTCTCTAAACCATACATCATGGCTGGTCTCACCACTGTCCTGTAAACCTTTCCCTTCACCTTAGCTGACACTCTTCTGCCACCGATCACTCCTGACACTTTTCTCCAGCTGTTCCATCCTGCCTGTACTCTATTCTTCACCTCTCTTCCACAGTCTCCGCTGCTCTGAACAGTTGATCCTAAGTACCTAAACTCCTGCACCTTCACCACCTCTGCTCCTTGTAGCCTCACTATTTCACTGTTCTGCCTTTCGTTTACACACATGTACTCTGTCTTGCTGCGACTGACCTTCATTCCTCTTCTTTCTAGTGCAAACCTCCACCTCTCTAGGTTCTCTTCTAGCTGCTGCCTACTCTCACTACAGATCACAATGTCATCTGCAAACATCATAGTCCATGGGGACTCCTGTCTGACCTCATCTGTCAATCTGTCCATCACCACAGCAAACAAGAAGGGGCTCAGGGCCGATCCTTGATGTAGTCCCACCTCCACTTTGAAGTCTTCTGTCCTCCCAACAGCGCACCTCACTACTGTTGTACTATTCTCATACATGTCCTGCACCAAACTAACATACTTCTCTGCCACTCCTGACTTCCTCATACAAAACCACAATTCCTCCCTTGGCACTTTGTCATATGCCTTTTCTAGATCTACAAATACACAATGCAGCTCCTTCTGACCTTCCCTGTACTTCTCCATCAACATCCTCAAGGCAAATATTGCATCTGTGGTACTCTTCCTAGGCATGAAACCATACTGTTGTTCACAAATCTCCACTTCCTGCCTCAACCTAGCTTCAACTACTCGTTCCCAAATCTTCATTGTATGGCTCATCAACTTTATCCCTCTGTAGTTGTTACAACTCTGTGCATCACCCTTCTTATGAATTGGCACCAGAACACTTTTTCTCCACTCATCAGGCATCTTGCCAGTCTCTAAAATTCTGTTAAACAAACCAGTCAGGAAATTTACTGCCACTTCTCCTAAACACTTCCATACTTCCACTGGTATGTCATCAGGACCAACTGACTTTCCACTCTTCATCCTCTTCAGGGCTTTTCTAACTTCATCCTTTCTAACCTGATCTACCTTCTTCCTACTAGTCTCTGGCTCCTCGTTTCTACTTTCCCTTTCATTTTCCTCATTTAACAACTCCTCAAAGTATTCCTTCCATCTTCTCAGCACACTTTCCTCACTTGTGATCACATTCCCCTCTCTGTCCTTAATCAACCTCACCTGCTGCACATCCTTCCCAGCTTGATTTCTCTGTCTCGCCAATCTATACAACTCCTTTTCTCCTTCCTTTGTTTCCAAACTCTCATACAACTCCTCATATGCCTTTTGTTTGGCCTTGGCCACTTCCCTCTTCACCTCCCTTGTCCTCTCTTTGTACTCCAGTCTGTTCTCTTCTGTTCTGTCACTGTCCCATCTCTTCTTCGCTAATCTCTTTCTCTGCACACTCTCCTGGATCTTCTCATTCCACCACCAGGTCTTTGTCCTCCTTTCTCTGCCCAGAGGACATACCTAGCACCTTCCTACCGCCCCTTGTTATGTCCAAATAACTCAATTTTTGTTTCATCAGTCCACAGCACCTTATTCCAAAATGAAGCTGGCTTGTCCAAATCATACCACTGTATTCAGATAAATATTTTCAGTGCTGACAAAGTCAAACAAAGATACATCTATAGGAAACGTTTATTAGCAGAGCACCACTTCTGAATATTTACTCCAATCATAACACATCAAATTGGAGAACTTAATCTAAACCCCCATGTTTGACTTCTATTATAACAACAAATCATCATAATATTTTAAAATAATAATACCCATCTGAGAGATCACTTACGTAATAAATCTGTTGTAAAGGACGAAGGCGTTCTCGATGTTCCCCTCATCTATGTAGACACTCGCCATACGAAGCATCTCCATACCCGAGCGGAAGTATCGGCGCAACGGAACGTCATCACTGACCTCCACCGTGCTTCCCTTCTTGGTCAGAGCACGGACTCGTGCCTCTGGTTGCAAGCTGACGTTGGTGTGCTCTGCCATTGTAACTGCAAGACCTGGAACACTGGAAAGACAAGCCAAATACTTGAGGAAGGCTTGTTAGGCTTAAAGGCTGTGTGCCCTTTAGGTATAACCAATTAAATCATTTGATGACCGTTACAACGGTATAATTTCATAATCAAAATTTTAAATTACAAAATGAATTGATAACTTTTTGAATAATTAGCTTAGCACTTTATTAATCGTTTCATTGAACAATAGGTATATTTAGATATGTACAGATTTAAACTAAACATCAGTGGTGCTGTCCTACTTTGCAACAAAAAAGTTTTATAAATGTATTTCAATTTTAAAGCAGATACAAGTAAACCCAATGTCTATCACAGTGAGAATGTCCTTCTGTATATGACAACACATGTTTAGAAATAGTAAGTAACTAAACACCACTACAGGACCTGTACACCTTCAGAACCCTAAAGTGAGCAAAAAAGATTGCAACCGACCCCTCTCCCCCTGGTCACTCTTTGAGGCGCTCCCCTCTGGGAGGAGGTTGCGGTCCTCCCGGACCAAAACCTCTCGCCACAAAAACAGCTTCTTCCCATCTGCTATTAGCCTTGTCAACAGACAAAAAGGCTCTCACTGACCTACCCACTCCCCCCACCTGCACACACACACACGCGCGCGCGCGCGCACACACACACACACCCCTGCACTTTAAAAATGTTGCATATTCTCTACTATTCTGTATATGTCCACCCATATGTATAATTTAATTTATTTTATCAACATTTGTATACCTTCATGTACATTTATTTCACTGCACGGTATGCCACAACAAATTCCTCGTAGGTGAAAACCTACCTGGCAATAAAAACGTTTCTGATTCTGATCTCTGACTGCATAATATTTACAGGGAAATAATGACTCTTGGGAAGTTTTTAAAGTTTTTTTTATCATCATTTAACTGCAGAGAAATGTAGAAATGTAGAAAGACCGCGATGGGGGGTAACACAAGGAAAAGACTGAATGCTAAAGGTTTTTGATAAATTAAGATAAAGCACTGATAAAATTAGAAGTGGACAAAGCTCGAGGCTGAATGTAAAATTCAAGATAATGCAATTTCTCATATTTATCTAAAGTAATCAAATCCGAGATTCATCATGTAAACTGCTACAGAAGGTATAAACAAAACACCGTTTAAAATTACTAGTATTTACTGTCAAAACACTATGATCAAGGTGTGTTAAATGAAAAGAAATAAAAACGTTTTTTGGAAGTTGTTTACACCTGGGATGATAGAGCTTTTTTAAATTCACCTGGTGTTAGGGTGTCAATATGTGTATAATACTCAGAATTGTCTGATTTGTAGTACCATGGTAAAGTTAAAATTCAGGTCAGTAGCTTGTCTGCGAGAGCTCGAATGAAAGCAATAGTCGAGAATCCATTTCCAGCACAGTCCAATTATAGCAAAAAATATATAAATACAAAAGTCAAATACAATACGTGAATTCAGAGTTAGATAATGTAGACTTCAGGATTCCCACTGAACAGCCATTGCTTAATAACAGCGGCGAGCTAAAACCGCTAACCAGGCTAAACATAGCACAGCGGTACAGATTCTATACAGAAAGGCAGCAGTAGAGAAAACATAGCAATTTAAACGTATTCTTACCCAAAGTGACCAAACAGCGAAGCTGTCAGAGGTCAACATACAGATTTAATTTTAGGCAGACGTCATTAAAGCCACATTAAAGGGACGTTACAGTTAAGAGAGAGGCTGACTGGACTGTCACCTCACTTCCGAAATGAAAACAAGTTCCGCCGTGAAAACAACTTCCGCCTGAAGAAACACGCTCCGGAGGAACTATTTTCTTTCATTTAGGTATTTCTTTGGTTTGCGTGAACAGAAGTTTAATTTAGATTTCAAAGAATCAATACATTGACAATTTAAAAATATAGAGAGCATATGGTTTTAGTTGAGATTTGAAAAAGAAAATACAGCGTTACGGACAATAGACAGAAGTATGGTTTGTTGTGTAGTGCCAAAAAGGCTGAGCTGTGACTGTTTTCAAGCATATAGGTCATGGTTTTCCAGAAGACTCCCACGGGTGAGTCAAGTTACATGAACGTTAAATTTAATTCCAGTTAAGCCATGCAAAAATCTCTCAAAACCAAGTTTCAGTCAGATCCATTGAAAATCGAATACAGAGACTAAGTTGGTCTAGGGGTATGATTCTCGCTTTGGGTGCGAGAGACCTAACATAAAGGCGGAATTACATATGGCGTTGCTCGGTAACCTAATTAAAACAAACAAAGCATATGACTATTTATCCATCCATCCATCCATCCATCTTCAACCGCTTATCCGGGGCCGGGTCGCGGGGGCAACAGTCTGAGCAGGGACACCCAGACTTCCCTCTCCCTCGACACTTCCTCCAGCAATTCTGGGGGGACCCCAAGGCGTTCCCAGGCCAGCCGAGCAACGTAGTCGCTCCAGCGTGTCCTAGGTCTTCCCCTAGGTCTCTTCCCAGAGGGACGGCACCCGAGCACCTCCCGAGGGAGGCGTCCGGGGGGCATGCAATGTAAATGCCCAAGCCACCTCAGCTGACTCCTCTCGATGTGGAGGAGCAGCGGCTCTACTTCGAGCTCCTCCCGCGTGACAGAGCTCCTCACCCTATCTCTAAGGGAGCGCTCTGCCACCCTGCGGAGAAAGCTCATTTCAGCCGCTTGAATCCTTGATCTCGTTCTTTCGGTCATGACCCACAACTCATGACCATAGGTGAGGGTAGGAACGTAGATTGACCGGTAAATTGAGAGCTTCGCTTTTCGGCTCAGCTCCTTCTTCACCACAACGGACCGATACAGCGACCGCATTACTGCGGCCGCAGCACCGATCCGCCTGTCAATCTCACGCTCGATTCTACCCTCACTCGTGAACAAGACCCCCAGATATTTGAACTCCTCCACCTGAGGCAGGACTTCATCCCCGACCCGAAGGGTGCATACCACCTTTTTCCGGTCGAGAACCATGGCCTCGGACTTAGAGGTGCTAATTTTCATCCCAGCTGCGTTACACTCTACTGCAAACCGCCCCAGTGCATGCTGCAGGTCCTGGTTCGAAGAAGCCAACAACACCACATCATCTGCAAAAAGCAGAGATGAAATCCGGTGGCTACCGAACTGGACCCCACCCGACACCTGGCTGCGCCTAGAAATTCTGTCCATGAAAATAATGAACAGAACCGGTGACAAAGG